AGAGAGAGAGAGAGAGAGAGAGAGAGAGAGAGAGAGAGAGAGAGAGCGGGAAGGTGGTCGAAGGGATTGACATGCCCCTACTGTGAAACATCAGATTTGACCTCGCCGTAAAACGTAGTGAGAGAGGGAGAAGAGGACAACAAACAAGGGGCTGTGACAGACTGCATACATATACATATATGTTGTCGGTTTGGCGCATATCTATCAACGAAAAGAGTGCACTATGCGAAACAAAGTTTAACAAACCATAAAATTACACAATACAGACATGAAGAGCACGCTGAAATCTCGCTTCCTCTTTGTCTGCAGTTTTTCCCTTTCTTTTTTCCCTTTCTTTTTCCCCTTACTGTTGCCTCTTCGATTATTTCTTCTTCCATCTCCCGCTTTACTGTGCCTCTCACGTACAAGGCTTGCATCCCCGTGGGCCATAAGGGCCCACTTGTACAGTGTCAAAAGTAAGACAAAGGGAAAGTAAGGGAAAGTACGGGAAAGCTACTGTCTTCACCCGAATAGAACGCCCTGTCATTATAGCCGTATTCGGTGCAACTTTCAGTCTACATACAGCCATAATGACCGGGCGTTCTATTCGGGTGAAGAAGGTAGGAGTGTGGAAGGAAGATGAACAAATAGGGAAGGATAAGAGAAGGCTCAAGGATTAGTCTTTCCTTGATGGAAAAAAAAAAGAAGCATGTCCTTGATGACAGAGAGGACATACATTCTAAGCATGAGATGGACGAGGACATGGAAGACCTAGCTGAGCATTCTCAGTACAACAACTGCCATGGCGGCTGTCTCAGGGCTAGAAAAGTCATGTTGATTGTCACATATATATTGTCAAACAGAGCTGCCCGGTAAACCATAGGCAGAGAAGGAGAAGATGACAACAAACAAGGGGCTGTGACAAACTGTTTCGTCGGAGTTTCACCGGCTCATCAGGAGGCTGACCCCTATATAGCAACAGAGAACTGCCTGCTGAACCGTAACCAGAAAGGGACAAAGGACATGAAACGGGAGGCTGTGACAGACTGTTCTGTCGGGGTTTCACCAGCCCATCCAGAGGCTGAACCCTCTACAGTCTGCAGGGCTCCTTAACCAATGATACTGAAGGTTATAATCCACCTGAATTTCCAAAAAAATAAAAATAAAAAAAAATCCACCTGAACGCCAATACATGTTTTAACTTTTCAGTTGTCAGCATGGTCCGCAATCATAACGCGCCACTTAACATTTACAGTGTGTGCCATTTCAGCGATTTCGCTCATGCCAAGGCGTTCTCTACTGGCCATCTTGGTAAATGTGAATTGCCAAGTCCAATTGATAGCTCAAATCGACATCAATGAAACCGCAAAGAAGCATGGGATCAAGATCAATATGCATACTCACAGCAGTTCGAGGTGGGCAAAAGATGTAATGCTCGCTCTAAGTGTCCCATTTAAACCCCTCGACGTCAAGTTCCTGATGCAATAGAGAAGGACGAGGGGGGAAGAAGAAAGGGAGAGAGAGAAGGAAATAATCAGCAACCTGTGATCCATAAGTAACAGTTTACTCCACTCCAACAGACAGAAAGATGAACAGCATAATGTTCAAGCAAAAAAAAAAATGGCCTTCTTTTTTTTTATCTCCACATTTGGTTGTTTTCCACAAAGATGGCAAAAACTGGGGCAAGCGCAGGGAGAGAACCGCGCACGTAATAGCGGAAAGCAAGTTGCGATCAATCAGTGATGGAAAACAGCAGGAAGGAAGAACATATCTAGAGCCTAGACATATCACTCCACTCTGTACATACACAGACCCCTCCCTCCGACCGTACCTTCAACTTGCCTGCTCCTCCTCCTCCTCCTCTTCTCTCCTGTTTGTTCCTTTTCTCTCCTATTCTCCTCATCCTCTACCTTCAACTCTCCTCTTTTTTTAATCACCTTTTCTCCTGCCTTATGCCGGGCGATAAAAAATGGATGCGCATCATCGAAACAACATTGTTTCACGGCAACATTGTTACAATGAGAGAGAAAGGGATAGTCCTCCATGTTCTTTGTTATCCTCCCACCCATGCCATCAACTCCCCCCCTCATTCTCAACATCCCTCACCCTCCTCACTAACCTTCCCGCCCTCCTCACTTAACTTTCATGCGCTCGCCAACGACTTTTCCGCCCTCTTTGTTGGCCCTCTCACCTTGTTTTCCAGCTTTCCCTACCCTCCTCGTTCTGTCACATCCTCCTGCTCTCGCCATCCACTTTCCCTGTCCTACTGCTCATTCTGTGACAACTCCCCGCCCTCCCCATTGTTCTGCAACTCCCATCACCTTTCCTTCCCTTCCCCCACCTTGTGTGACATCCCCTAGTCTCCTCATCGACTTTACCCCTCTTCCCCTTTGTTCATGCAACAACCTCCCGCTACCCATCAACTTCTCCCCTTCTCCCTCTCCTTGCGAACCCCCCCCCCCCCCCCCCCCCCCCCCCCCCCCCCCCCCCCCACCCCCAACCAATCAACTTTCCACCCTCCACATTGACTTTCTCCCTCCTCCCTTTGTTGTTCAACACTCCCCTGGCTTCCCCATCCACTTCCCCATCCACTCTGCCCATGGACTTTCCGCTCCCCCCTCCGCCCCCTTGCTTACTCTCCCTTGCCATCAACTTTGCCCTTCCTCACCCTCCCTATTGCTCAAGTTGTTTGATATTCCCTCACCCTCCTCATCGACTTCATCCCTCTCCCCCTTGTTCATGCAACATCCTCCTGCTGCCCATCGACTTTCCCCCCTCCTCCCTCTCCTCGTGAAACATCGCCCTCCCCCCAACCAATCAACTTTCTGTCCTCCCCATCGACTGACCGCGGAAGAGTGGGTCGGCACATCTCTGTCAAAGTGCATGAATTTTCGCAGTGGACGACCACTCGAAAAAAGGGGATATGGGAGTTTGGAGTTTTGCAGTGACCAGTCCACATTTTTGCGGAGGACCAACAGCTATTTGGTTGCCCTACCAGTACCTTCAAAATTCAAAGGACTGTCCTACCTTGTGACTGGACGCCCAAAAATGGTCCCCCAAAGTCTTGGAAGGGCGATTTTTTTTAGGCCGCCCGATCTTGAAGATCTGACGTGGCTAATAGGCTTATTAGACACAGGCAATCGATGGCTTGTTGCAACATGTTGAGTGCACCTACTTTGGCGCAACTGTGAAAACTCAGGAACATAGATTGAGTAATGATCTTTCGAAAAAAGAAAAAAAAAAATGAAACCAAAATAATCCAAAATTTCTTCAGGGAAAAAAAAATGACGATGGTGAAAGAATGCGCCTTTTTCACCCTACTGCTTCCACTAGGCCCACATTGTTTTGGCTCCATGGGCCAGGCTGGGAATTCGCAGCCCTAGGGCTGCCGTATAGTGGTGGCGCGAAGTTTTGCACGGCGGGGCGACCGCCCAAAAACGGATATAGCGGGGGTGGAAGTACCACGATGACCGTTCCTTCGCATTCTTGTGGAGGACCGACTGGTAATTGGTGGCAGTACCAAGACCTTAGGAATTCGAAGAATCGGTCCTTGGTCTCCCGTGAACCCCAGTTGTCAGGATTTTGAAGGGAGGTCCTGGGACAAGCATTCCGTGGTGTAGGTATAACCGGCGTGGGATATGTTCTGCACTTGTGCCTATGAATCTGCCAGAGCTTTCGGTAGCTACAGTGTACCATCCGTTTGCGCTTGAGAAGAGGCGCATACAAAAAGGGGACACGTTTCTCTCTCTCTCAGAAAAAAAAGGAAAAAAGAAAGACATAACCCCTTCGGGCTGCGTTCCCTGCATCTCCACAGTAGACAATTCGACATCCCCCCAGCTTCCCCATCCCCTTCTCCCCATCTGCCCATGGACTTTCCCCTCTCACCATACCCCCCTCCTCCCCGTCCTTTTGCAACATCCTCCCACCCTCCTTATTCACTTTCCCTTTCCCCCACTTCGTTGCACAACATCCCCCAGCCCTCCCATTGGACTTCCTTGCCCTCCCCATCAACTCTTCCCCTTGTCCCCGTCACCCTGCATCATCCTCCCATCATTTGCGTCGACTTTCCACCTCTCCCACTATTGAGCCACCACCCCTCACCCTCCTAATTGACATCCCCCCCCCCCCGCCCCTCCCCCCCAACTCTTTTCTGCCCTCCCCATCGACTTCCTGCCCTTCATCCTCCAACATTCTCCCACCCTCCTCATCAGTGCAACATTCCCCCACCCTTCCTATCAACTTTCCGCCCTCCTCATTGACTTTACCGTGCTCGCAATTGGCCGTCTCCCTCGCCCCCTTGTATTGTGACATCCCCCTACCGTCTCCATCGACTTGTCCCCCCTGGCCATCGACTTTCTGCCTTCCGCACCTACTTTCCCCCTGCTACCCCTCGTTTTGTGACTTTCCCCGCCCGCGCCACCGCTTTTCTCCCCCTTCCCCTGGTTTTGCAACAACATCCCAACACCTCCATTGTTGGTATTCACTACCATTGATTAGACTGGTGTACATTGTGACCCTACGAAAACGATTCACATGACACGTAGCATTGCAAATGCGTTGCGGATTTTCCAAAATTTTGCATCCAATTGTACATCCTTACCTTTGTTGGGAGAGCGAATATTGGGGGAGAGCAAGGACAGAAGATAGAGATGCAAGAATGAACTGACCATGTGTCAGAGGGAAGAGTCACGGACGAATGGGAGGGGAACTGGTTGCTAGCGAGAGATTGAGCCAGGTTTTTTTCCCCCCCCTTTAAGATATCATCACTGGACTGAACGGCCCCAGGTAATTCAGAATGATTGTATTCTGGTCATCGGATCGTATCCAGATTCCAGCCTGGGTCTGTACTCCAACAGTGCATGAGTGTACCAACTGAGCCAGTTTATGGGTGAGTGAGAGCTTGGAGAAGTGAGTAATGGAGGAATAAAACAGGGGAAAAGGGGACCTTGCAAGTCAAAGGAGGGAAGAGATAGGGGGGAGGGGGGTTGAAGACATTGACAGATGGACAGTAGAACCCGGAAACAGATGTAGGATTATGGGAGGGGGGGGGGGGCAACAGAAATGGGAAGGGCACCAACAGGCCTACCGTCTTCGCCCGAATAGAACGCCAGGTAATTATCACCGTATCTGGGCTGAAAGTTGTGCCAAATACAGCTGTAACGACCGGCCGTTCTATTCGGGTGAAGACGGTAGCTCAGTTGGCGCACCCATGAACTGTTGAAATACAGACCTGAGGGAGGTGGAGGGGCAACCGAAATGGTAAGGGCACCCCAACAGGCCTAGCTCAGTTGGCACACTCGTGAACTGTTGAAAATTGAAATACAGACCTGAGTTCGAATCCTGGTGGACCTTGATAAATGGAATCAAATCATTCTATTAATTCTGAATTTCCTTGGGCCGGGCAGCTTGGCGCTGATATCTCATGGTCGTTGCCCTTTCAAAAAAAAAAAAAGGGAAAGGGAAAAAAAAAAAAAAAGAAATGGAAGGAGGGGAGAGAGTTCAGCGAAGGTGTCCTTACAATTCTTTTAAATGGTGCCAACGGGGCTGTTCATCCACAATTTTACATTTAACCCGTAGAAATGAATCAGTCAGCAGACAGGGGTCCAGATACGTCATGTTTATACTCAGGAGCTCCCTCATCATCTCCGTAAATGCAAGCCCTGCAAAAACATTCATTAGTACGCAAGATATACTGTCTCAGAGTTGTTGCTACTTGTTACTAAGGGCACACTCACACTAGGACTTTCCCGGATGAATTATGACCGCTTTTCCGACCCAGCCTGAACGCACCTGACTGCAATTACACCCACAGAGAAGTGGGAAAAGTACTAGTGTGAGTAAGCGCTAAGTTCTTGCCGTGAGTCACGAGTTCTTTGCCTCTGTTTCAATGTTGATACTACTACCATATTGGTACTCACTACCATCCCCGAATACAACTGATAGTCATTAGAGCAGGCTGCATTTGGGGCAATCTTCAACTCTAGGTACAACGATAATGACCATATGTTATGTTCAGGTGAAGATGGTACCCTCATCAACAGGTACAAATAGTGTCAAATGCCTTCTGACAATCAGCTAGCCAGTTGTTGGACAGAAAAAATATTTTTTTTGGGGGGGTGGGGGGGGTAGGTAGCTAGAGATGAAGGGAAAGAAAAAAGGACTTATCTTGGTAGCTTACGGGGGCAAGTGCAATTTTTTTTATTTTTTTTTAGCGAGTACAAATTTCTCAGCGAGTTGCGAGTACAAACTTCCTCCGATATATATTATATATTATATATATATCGTCAATATTATATATATATCGTCTTATATATATATATATATCGTCACCGGGCCCAGTGCCCAAGGCTGATATTACCAATAATAAGATTGAGGCTGGGGTCCTCACAGTCTGCCCGGAATGAATGAACATACGGAAACCGCAAATGATGACCATGATGGTACTAATGACACTGATTAATGATGCTAATGAGAATGATGATTCAAAAATATGGAAAATTAAAGAAAATATGCTATATCAGCTATTCTGGCCTCCTAATCCTAGAACAACTCCGATATTATTTTGCCAAATGAGCTCGCTAGGTCAGTGACTTGTCACAACTGAAGTTACTCTCATTTCATGTTATTAGCTTTGTACTTTTTTCTTCCTCCGAACATATTACCCATCATCATGGACGCATACAGAGCCTATTCCTGTCCAAATACAGTCATGATGCTGCGGCATTGTGTTCAGGGGAAGACAACCCTCATCAATAGCGCTCATCAACTCTATTTCTACAACTATCTAGCCAAGCCAAGTCACTTTTCTACCTGATATTCACCGACCTGTGGCCTCGTCCCACTACACAACGCTCTACATTCATCTGGGCGCTTTATGAACCAGATATATCCAAAATGTTGGACTCGTCCCAACGCACCTGGTCGGCTAGAGTGTTGTGTAGTGGAGCAAGGCCACTTAGCTACCTTATTTCTTCTACCAGGTTACCACTCCCTTGACCGAGGGAAGATGACTTGAATTCGGACGAAAAACCCTCTATCTTCCGCAAGTGCAAACTTCATCATTGGAAGCCTCAGCAAGTCTGAAAGAGTAACTGGAACTGTACTTCCTAAGTCTATGACACTTTGAAGCAAATGCATGCGAACTCCTAACAACATCCGGCAGCATTCATTTCCTTCAGAATAATCACTTTTTCTTTTATTATTTACTTCCCAATTCAGCGGATGGGTAAGAAAGCCAAATTTGGAAGGTGGCAGCCTGGCAGGGAAACAGTTGTACTTGCCGTCAAACGACCTGTAGGATGTTTTGCTCGTACCCCTGGAGTGGTGACGTTCTTCTTTTCGGTAAGGACGGGGGTGGGAGTGATCGGAGAGGGAGAGGGGGGAGAGTGGGGGGCACCCATGCGGG